CTTTCCAACTGGTCTAGATAAGTGATAGGATCATAGTATATTGAGAAAGCTAAAAGCATGAAATTGTTCTAAACAAAAACAATTGTTAAAAATATTTCTAATCCCACAGATTTAGTATTGTTAGTCTAGATATATTACAAATTTAATTACTGATCCAAATTAAAACATTTAAATATAAGCTTTTTTTTTTTTTTAAGTATTTTTTTTTATTTTGCTTGTTTATTATTGTTATATTACATAACTAGCAAAATTCAAGTGGCCAATGCTTAGCAACACTTTTGTACAGCTTTGAAGTGTAATATTTAATAAACATATTTGTTGAGAGAAATAAAAGTTTGCATGTCTTAAAATAGCTTTCTCTGATATTTGTTGGTTCTCTTATATATGTACACTATTCATTAAATCCACTTGTTCAGGTTTTACATTTTCTGTTAAAATTATTCTAGTTTGTTATACCCTTCAAAGTTTTGTATTCATTTGATGGTACTATACACACCAATGTTGTACTCTGGCTATATTGTTATTAACAGGTGATAGACTGTCTACTGTAGTAGGAACAACTCAGAAATCTACCACAGTTTGTAGTCAGGTAATACATTGATAGATTTTGGAAAGTTTTAGTTTAAGATAAAGAAGTTCTTGAGAGAAGTATATGTAAACAGATTTTACTTTTTTTCCCTTTAGATATCAACACCAAGTAGAAATATTTCTGCTGACCGAGCCAGACAAGATCAGGGTCCATCTACAGAGAAAAAGACAAATGCTTTCACTCATCAGCAAAATTCAAAATCATCACCAGAAAATATTTTCAGTCTTGGCATTTTTACACATCCAAATGTAACGCCAACTTCTCAAAATAGTTTCAGTTTTTCCGTATTCCCACAATGTGCAACAACAGACAGGGAAAATATTTTTAAAACTAGCACAGTTACGCATCAGAGCCCAACACCAACTAGAGAAGATACTTCTAAGCCAAGCATGTTCACACATAAAAATACACCAGCTACAGAAACTACTTTTAAACGTAGCATATTCACACAGCAAAAAACACCTTCTGCAGACAACACATTTAAACCTAGCATATTCACACAACAAAGTACACCAGCTGCAGACACTGCTTTTAAATCTAGCATATTCACACAACAAAGTACACCAACTGCAGACACTGCTTTTAAATCTAGCCTATTTAAACAACAAAGTACACCAACTGCAGACACTGCTTTTAAATCTAGCCTATTCACACAACAAAGTACATCAACTGTAAACACCTCATTCAAACCAAACATATTCACACAGCAAAATGTGCCAGCTACAAATACCATGTTTAAACCTGGCATATTTGAACATCAGAACTTTAGTCCACAAATTGATAATAATGGTAATAGGTGTCGTATCCCACGATTCCCAAGTTCTACAACAGACAACCATTTTACAGCTGATATATTCTCACAGTGCCAAAATGTGGCTTCTTCAGTCAGGCCCAACATTTCACATCATTATTCCACATCATCAATAGAAACAAGCATCAAGCCTCAAATCTCTGCACACCAAACTGTTCCTTCAGCAACAAGAACTAACCCTTCAGCAGCAACAAGAGTTGAAACAAACCAGCAGACAAAGTCAAATTTGAACTTGTCAGCTCATCCAGAAAAGGTTATTAGTTTTTTGAAAGTTTTTAGCAAACTAGTAGTTTTTGAAGTATAGAAATTTAAAAAAGGATACAAATTCTTATACGCTTGGGAAGCTCATTTGAATATAGGCTGAAAAGGGTTACCGCAAACTTGGGTCATTATTTCTTCTTTGTTCTCAATAGTAGAATTAGAGAAGTCAAATAAGAAACCCTTTTCCTGAGATGCACTGTGCTGAGATTTCCCAAACCATGCAGTTCTCCAAATAGTTTGTCTTTGAATCAAAATGTTAATAGGATTTTCAAAATCTCTGTTACTCTTTTAGTAGTTTTCTAGACATGAGAGTTTCTGTTAATGTGGGTGTATAGATACACACTATTATTTGACCATTTAGAGCCAGCAGTCTACTCTAGTTCTGATGTCTGATAAAATTCAAGATTGATCTGTGATACACTATTTTAGTGAATATTTTATTTAAAGTTACATAAAATTTTTTTTTTTTTTAGAAAACGTTTTCAACTGTAAAATTGAATGGTATTAAAAACGTATCTAGTCTACAGGCTTAATTAATGAACTACCTTGAATGTTATTTCTGATGTAGAAAGTGTACTTGAACTATTTCTAAGACTGTAGAAATAAACCATTAGACATATGTGTTTGTTTCAGACTGTGGTTTGTAAAGCAGCACAAGGAGATGATGATGTAGTGTTAGCCAAGTTTGAGTCTGTCTGGAAAGCCATCTTTAATGTTCTGTAAGGATATTTGATTTTTACATAATATCAGTGTGTTATTTCAAAACTCTGTAGAGCAGATGATGTAAAGGTCATCAGTTTCTGGTTACAGCGGGTGTCATGTGGAAAGAACTATGACCAGCCTACTTTATTTTCCCCAAATAATGTCAGGTGCCCATTAGAGTTATGTGTACTTTGGCAAGAACTTGTATGTATACTATGAAATGTTATATGGTAATATTATTACAGTTTGGTGTATTTTTGAGTAGATTATTACATTAAGTCAGCTGTCACCAAATTTGGTGTTTCTTTTTTAACTAAAATATTTTTCATAGCCTATACTCTAAAGACTTTTAACATTTTATCGACTCAAACGATGTTTTCAAAAATAAATAAACAACATTCTCTGGATTAGCCAGTGTAAATGAAATCTTGGCTTTATTATTGAGTACAATGTCTTTATGAGGCTCAGTTTAGTTGAATTCACTTTTGCATTGCTTAAATTTGTACATTTCTATAACCTTCCATCATTCAGAAGAAGGAAAATATTTATCTGTCTTATCTTGTATGGACAGAACAAAAAAAAAAACAATTTTGAAGTGGGAAAATTCTATGGTAAATATTGATTTTACATGCAGCAGTGCACTTGAAAGAAATTGTAACCATGGATTAATTCAATTTTGCAAATCTAATGCCATTAAAAAGCTATTTCAAAATCTGATCATTTCATCTTACTTTTTAAAAATAATGTCTTAAAAGTTTGATCAGTCTTAAAGTTTTGGAATATATTCCTATTCCTAAATTTCTGAAAGAGTGACATGCTTTATCATATTAGTTCTGAAATATCACATTTCAAGTTCAAAATGGTTACCATGGTAATTCATTGTCTTTAAACTTCCTTATGAAAAATGAATCCCTTCTAGGATGTCATCATGAAATGAGCTATGTCTGCATTTGTAAAGTCAGTTATCAACACAGAGAATACAGAGGGCATAAAATATTCCTCCTTCTGGCTTTTATTTGTGAGGGTTAATGTATTAATTTTGCTGACCTACTCAGATGAGGTTTGACTTTAGCTAACTCTACCTTTCAATTGAATGGAATAAACAGTTAAAACTGAATACAGAATTCACTTGAGTGTGTTCTAATTTTGGTTTTATGATAGAATGCTAATGTTTCTATTTCTTTTCCTAGAACACAAGTCAGTTCTATCCTATCACAAGGTCCTTCACATAGAGACTTTACTGCAGCTTGTGAAATGTGTGGTAGACTTGGAGCTGTTCTACCTGTACTGAAGGAACAGTTTGACAGGTTAGTACTTTTCTTGTTTAATGTATAGTTATCTTAGAATATGATACTTTTAATATAGCTACATCAGTAAGCTGTAATAAATGGGTATCAATTGAGCAACCATTTGTTTGTTAGATTAAACTAGCTCTGTTTCATTTGAATATTTGTAGTACAAAGAGAGCTCATTGAAGAGACTTTTTAAATATAGGCATAAATATTGGTTTCTTAGTTTTATTTTTGCAAAAGCTTTAAATAGAAATGGGTGTTTAATTCTTTGCAGGACCAATGAGATAACTTCTCTTTATTTAATAACATAAAAATGTCCTGGGAACATTTGGAAGACCTAACTTTGACCCTTTATAAAAACTCCCAGTTTTGTCACATCTCTAGAATGCTTAGAATAGCTGCTTAATGTTTCATGTCTTTCCTATTGCCAGATGTCTTTCATATTCACCAGTCATTGTTGGGGATCACATTCTGGAGTTCAGGAGCTTTAGTGACATTTTGAATTCCTTCTACCATGATGCTAAGCTGTCTTGTGAAGACCCTTGTGAGCCAGTAACATTCCAGCAGCTAATGCAGCATTTCAAGTTGGGCAAAAACAGGTTAGTGTGGCAGCCATCTAGTATATCTAGTCACATCAGCGTCTTCATGGAATAGACAGAAGACTTAAAAAATAAATTATAGCTTTTATATAGCGCTATTTTCATGCTTATAGCATGCTCAGAGTGCTTTGGTCCAATGTCATTTGTGGCCCAGTGGGGGAGGGGGTTTCTGAAGTAAGGTTTTTCGTGCTGCCTTTAGGCTTCTTAGGTAGCCAAGTCAAGTTCAAGCATATTTAGCCTTTCGACCATGCATCCCACATTTTATTTCGTTTTTTTTAACTTTTATATTGATATTGAGAAATGTTATTGGTTTCTTGCTTACCAATATTTATCACCATTACTTTTGAATAAATATTGTAAAAATAAAGAAGAGTAAAGATTATTGATTTTTGTTGAACACAAGCCCCAATATTTGAAAGATGCATTTTTATCCAAATTTGAAACAAAGTTGTTTCTGTTTCAGGTCAAAGTTATCTGCTGGTGTTGAGCAGCTTCAGAGTTTTATTCACGAAAATGAACAATTGAAGGTCAATGTGTGTTCCAGAATTTAAGTTGTATTTCAATAAAAATCTATTGTCACTCAGTAGTTGAATAGGAATGGTATACAAATATGACATTGATGGGTATGACAGTTGACTGATAGGATTGTTAAATGATTGATATGTTTCAGTTGATAGATATGATAGTTGAATGATGGGATTGTTATATGATTGATATGGTTAAGTTGATAGGTATATCAGTTGGCTGATGGGATTGTTATATGATTGATATAGTTAAGTTGATAGATATGTTAACTTGTATGGCTGTTGGATAGCTGGTAGGACTAAGTTGAAAGATATTCAACGTACTTATTTATAGGAACTATGAGAGACATTTCTAAACAATGACTAAGCAGTTTAATTCATTTAGTATTTTTCCATTCAACAGTTTTTCTAGTCATACTAACATGCATATTGCTGGTGATGCATGCTTAAAATCAGTTTTGATACAAATGTTTGTGATTTACTTTAATTATTTGAGAGATTTACTTTTTTCTTCTGTTCTGATATTTATATACTTGAAAAATGAAATAAACTATTACAAAAATATATATGCTTTTTAAAAAAATGTCTTTTTTGCTTTTTATTTATTTTTGGTCTGTTTTTATTAGCTTTAAGGCTTTTAGAAATAATGTACAATCACAGTACATACTTTTAGCTCATTAATTGATTGATCCAACTAACAACAACAAATCTTATTTGTTCTATACATGTATATCTTTTCATTCTAGCTGCTTCCAAGTAAACCCATCTTGATTTGTTATCCCTCTTGCCTCAGTAGTTACTACTTTTGGACCTGCTCTGATGTATCCATCCACCTTCTCTGATTGATTTCTGTATTCAAATGGAATCAGACAAGTTTTTCTTTTAGTGATGCAATAAGCAGGTGTTAAAAAAGTAATGAAGTGAATTATTTTCTATTAAATAATTTGTTAACAATGATGCTAGCATTCACATAATTATTTACAGACTTAAACTTACAAAAAAAAAAAAAAAAAAAAAAAAAGCAAATTAGTCAAATACAATTTTTAAAGTAAAGACTGAATGCATATCAAAGTTCAGGTAGTATATTTTTCACGCCAGATATTCAACAAATGCTTAAAATATATTTGACTTAATTTATAGTCGTAGGAAATATTTTATCTTGAGTTAACATTGAAGGAGCTCATAATAGAACCTTAATCTGTTGCCTGTTCTCATTAGGTTGTGATGTGACCTGTTGTCTGTTCTCATTAAGTTGTGATGTGACCTATTGCCTGTTCTCATTAGGTTGTGATGTGACCTGTTGTCTGTTCTCACTAGGTTATGATGTGACCTGTTGCCTGTTCTCATTAAGTTGTGATGTGACCTGTTGTCTGTTCTCATTAGGTTGTGATGTGACCTGTTGTTTGTTCTCATTAGGTTGTGATGTGACCTGTTGTCTGTTCTCATTAGGTTGTGATGTGACCTGTTGTCTGTTCTCACTAGGTTGTGATGTGACCTGTTGTCTGTTCTCATTAGGTTGTGATGTGACCTGTTGTCTGTTCTCACCAAGTTGTGATGTGACCTGTTGTCTGTTCTCACCAAATTGTGATGTGACCTGTTGTCTGTTCTCACCAAGTTGTGATGTGACCATTTGAATCTTTAAAACTTACTTTCTTGTTTAGTAAACATTTTTTACTTGGAAGTGAGGTGCGGTGGCTGAGCGGTAGAGCACTTGGCTTCCGAACCAGGGGTCCCGGGTTCGAAGACTGGAATTATCAATTTCGGTGTCTTTGGGCACCTCTGAGTCCACCCAGCCTAATGGGTACCTGACATTAAGTAAAGGCAGTTGGTTGTGCTGGCGACATGATACCCACGTTAACCGTAGGCCACAGAAACAGATGACCTTTACATCACCTGCCCTGTAGACCACAGGGTCTGAAAAGGGAACTCTACTTTACTTTTTTTTACTGGGAAATAAAAACCTTTAGAGTCTTTAAAACTTACCTTCCTATTTGTTAGACACTTTTTACTTGAAAAAAAATTTATCAAAGTTGCTCTGCAACATTCTCAACCACCCAATTCCTCTAGTTTCATCAAGTTTATTATTATTATACCACACTACAAAAATAACAATAAAATGTAAAGCGTTGTTTGACTCACCAGTTGGTTCTAAAGCGTTGTTTAACTCACCAGTTGGTTCTAAAGCGTTGTTTAACTCACCAGTTGGTTCTAAAGCGTTGTTTAACTCACCAGTTGGTTCTAAAGCGTTGTTTAACTCACCAGTTGGTTCTAAAGCGCTGTTTAACTCACCAGTTGGTTCTAAAGTGTTGTTTAACTCACCAGTTGGTTCTAAAGCGCTGTTTAACTCACCAGTTGGTTCTAAAGCGTTGTTTAACTCACCAGTTGGTTGTAAAGTGTTGGTGACTTGAGTGGTTGGTTGTGCGGATTTGTTGACTCATTAAACTTTTGGAAATATGACCGAAATGTTAATAAGATAAGATAATTTTATTGATCCAATCAAATGGAAATTCAGTTTGAATACAATTGACAACATCAGCATAGCTACTGTACAATAACAGTATAGATGAAAAATTCGAACAACATTCACACACGAAACACATACACAACCAGCGCCAGGATGGCTGCCTGGTCGTGCGGTTTGCACGCTGGACTGCCGTTTGGATTCATCGATGGTCCAGGGTTCAAACCCTGCCCGCTCCCATCCCCCGTCGTCCTGCTGGAGGTTTGGACTAGGAAGTAAACTATCTTTAATCTGAAGGATCATCAGAAACATGTAAAACAAACAAACAAGTGCTTTATGAATTTGACTTCTATGTACTTCTCGATGACGACAGCTGATCTTGTAATCCAGGTAAATGAAATACAGATTTTTTGATCAGCTACTCAGTAGGTAACACAGTGAACTGGTTAAGAGACAGTCTATATGAAGGACAAGATACAACGAAACATAGTAGGCTAACTTTGTGGGTCTGAAACCACGGGATACTTCAGCTCGCCCTTGATGATAGTTCCTCGTCAACGTTGTCTACTGGAGACATTTCCAAAAGAATAGGTGACGTAAGACTCATTTCTATTAGAATCAAGTCTTCTCATCAGTCTGCTTTGAGATCTTACAATTCATTCAAATTTAGATCTTCATATACTCGTGTTGGAGACTGAAGACGGGGAAAATCGACATGATTCTGGACTGCAGGGGCGTATTCAGGATTTTTTTTCGGAGTTTTGTGTGTGTGTGTGTATATGTATGTAGGCCTATGTATTTGTATGTGTAGGTAATTAATCTTTATTACATCCCAGCCCTTCATTCTTTCGCTCGTTTTGTTGTACCCTACAATACGTTCTTCCTGGAATTAGTGGAAAAACAGTAGTCACCCCACCCTTACCAGCTGGGGGGTGGGGGGCTGGATGAACACCATGAGCTCCCCTAGCGGGGTTCGGGGAGGAGTCAATCATTATTTCCAGTATTTAAAACAAAAAAATGCATATTCTGACGTATCTATGGTGCTTTATCCTGCCACACTTCTATTTCAAAGATGTAGTTCAAAAACCGCATCTCATTTTCTTTGTAGGCCTAAATGACTCGTAGAAATTGGTAACTATAGTTTCGCTTTAGTTTTTTTTTTATTGGAGGGGTAACCACTAAACCCCTCTTGGCTACGCTCATGGTATTTTGTGACTGTAGTTTGATTTACATTTTTTATTAAACTAAAAAAAAAACAACCTTAGTGGTGAATGGAGTTAATTGCTTTAGTTTTAATATTCAAGAGGGAGTTTTTAACTCTCCCTAGCGGGGCTTTTAACTCAAAACCCTTTGGAGGGGGTTTTGTTTAAAACTCAAACTATAGTTTACTTACTTTTATATTGACGATGTTTTTTTTAACCTCATAATCCTCTGGAGAGGGTTTTCAGCTCATAGAATCTGGTGGTGGTGTTTGCTTTAGTCTTGCATTGAAGAGAGGGGTTTTAACGTCAAAAAACTCTGGATACGCTCATGAAATTAGGCGACTGTTGTTTGCTTTATTTTTTGTGTTATAAACAAGTGGCTTTTAACATCAAAACCCCCCTGCAGATGGATTTTAAACTCACCCCCCCCCCCCCCCAGCTGCGCTCTGTCAAGTGACAGTTTAAAACTCTCCTACAATAAACACAATTAAAGCAAAAAAAAAAAGTACTTTAATAATCTAACATCAAAAATATTTGTAAACATTACAGCCATGCCTAAAAGAAGCATAAATATCATTATGTTAACCAAAGTTTTAAACAATATCATTGTCCTGCTGGCTTGTCTAGTACTTTTACATACGTTGACAAATATCAAATGTAGCTAGGGCTCCATCCTCATTCTTTGACCTAATTATTTCTATCTTTTATCTAAATATCGTTATTTTTAGCCTCGGATTTTCCAGAATATGTTCTTGGGCTTATAGACGATCGAAAGTAGATCTCTATCAAACAATCTAAGACTCAACGCATAATTCCATGATCAAAGTAAAGTATTTAGTAAAAAGATTTGTACGAGTAGGTTTATTTCATAGTATTTTTATTTAAACATTTCTTACGATTTAGCTGACATAAAATCTAGATCTACATCTTAATATATTAGACCTAAGTCCAGATCTATAGACATACTTTACATTTTCAACGAAATCTACAGTCTCGGCAGTAGATATAGATCTAGGGCTAGGCCTACGTCACAAACTTCAAACATTGTGCAACAAATAAACTTATACTTACATTGATCTGAAAACTTCACTATTAGTTAAGGAATAAATAAAATTAGATGGTAATGGTAGATCTACATTTTGTAATACTTTTTGACAGGCATGTTTTTTTTTTATTCTACTTCCCCCCTTTCTCTCGGTATAGATTGATAAACATATTTAAATAATAGCCGTAACCGGGATTTTTTTCGGCGGGGGGGGGGGGGGGGGGGGGGTGTGTCTATGCACGTTTTATCCTGCAGGCACTTCAGACACTTTGTAAGTCTGCATCCAACATTACAATACAAGTCCTCACCTGCTGGAACCAGACCCGAAACGCCTGGGGGAAGCAGGTGTTGGCCCCAGATAGAACCACAGTCAGAAATGAGATGAGATGAAAACGAAAAGTCCCAATTTATTTTTTTTCTCATTAAAATAGACTCAATGAATTGTGATAATCAATTTCATCAATAGTCCACCTCTTTGCAACGTCACACATATTCAGACAGGAGACTAAGCAGCATCACGTGCATTGGATAGGAGTGATTGCAGATATTCATCGTGAACCTTTTATATGGAGGAAGATTGGATTATGATTAGCTTCAGATATCCATCCAGGCACGAAAGTTTTGTATGACTTGTAATCCAACAGGTGCAATTAGTTCTTTATATAAACCATTACTACTGTCACGAGTCGAGTCTGTGACCTATTTCGACCAGTTTCTAGAAGCTCAAGTTCAACCAGTGCAAGTGTCCAGCGTAAACAAGTTAATTTTAGATATCCAATCGAAGAAAGAGGTTAAGGGAAAAAATAGCACACGTCAGTTTCTAGAAGGTCAAAGTTACTAAAATAAATATCGGAGAAGGTTCCAGGATTCTGGAA